CCCCCTTTCCCCTGGGGTCCGGCGGAGGTCCTGGCGCGGCGGGGCGCGGCGGGGCGCGGCGGGCCGGGTGCTGCTGGTTTGGCGGCCGCAACAGGTTCCAAGGGGCTCGCCCCGAGGCTGTGTCGGCCTGATGAGGGCCGTACCCGCCTCGGTACAGCACAGCATGTGTGAGTGTGTGCGTGTGTGCGTGTGGCTGTGCTGCCGAGATTTGTGTGTGCGGGCGTTAGCAGCTGCTTATGCCATATGTGTGCGCAGGGTGTTTGAACTGCTGCGTAGGACTCCGCGACTATGTGCGCGGTAGCATTACTTCTCACTCGGAGGTTTACCACGAACCAAGGAGTTGCTGCTGCTCATTGCTTCTACTCCTACTTAGATGACGACGCGACGTCGCTTGCAGGGGTGCTGAGGAATATTTTAGTCCAATGGCACCATTTACAGACACGTAAAAAGGTGCAGCGCTTGCTTTATCAATTTTATCACCATCGGTTTCCATCAGCGTGGCCAAGGTGGGAGTGTTAATGCCTGCGTTAATGCACTGCAAACCCCTAGCCACGTTTAAGGGTGTGATGGGTGTGAGTTAGCAACTTTGTTTTTCCTGTGTTACGCAACATATGCAATGTTTTCAGAGCCATTGTTTACAGTCTTAACAGAACATTTACGCTTTGCAGGTTTATGAGCAGATAACTTAAACTTCAGCAAACTGCATTTTATGTTACCGCAATTTGTTCATAGATTCTAAACAAACAACTGGTACTGGCGAACCACCATAGAGCAGAGCGATAGACTGGTCGACCGTGCGGTTGAGCAGGTCGTCACGCATACCATTCTATACCGCGCCCACCTACAAGCAAGCACCCCTCCCACTGCTGCCTCGAGCCGTGCGCCTAATCGATCTCAGTAGCGACGCTTCGTCTCTCTCTCTCTCTCTCTCTCGGCCACACCGCATCATGCAGTTCTGCAGCACCATAGGTGTTATCTCAGGCGCGCTCATGCCCCAACCCCAACTAGCGATCTGGCCGCACCTCCGTCGCCGGTCGGACTCACTGACCCTCCCCCCGCCCCTCCCCTC